GCCTCCATGCTTGGCTCCGGCGGCTCCCTCGTAGCTGGATCTGCCACTGTCCATCACAGCCTGCCACTAAAAACCATGTGCCTCTTCCTTGCTATCTTCTTCATCTCCGACTGAGTTGTTCCCTCTGCCCCCTGTCTGTCAATCCATTTACTCAGTGATCTCTATCTGGTTGTGATGGATTTACCAATTACTATATATATCCCCACTTGTGTCACACGTTTGTGTCTCTTCAATAAGTGTTATATGGTGAGCTCATAGCTTAAGTTAAATCGGCTCATGTTATGGCCCATGTAGTTTAGAATTAAAATGAGTGATGGTTGTCCTTACAAGTTTCGATCTTATTAGTCGTTGCAACTATTTTATCCATACTACTTTAATTGAAACTCTAGTACTTATATTCAAAACTCTCCTTTTGTGTCATATTAGAAGAATGGATTCTAGGTCCTATACTGCAGCCTTAGTTGTTATAGTGGTATAAACAGTATGGAAGTGGTGGGTAATCTAGATATAAGTTTAGGGGATAATTTAGATTATCTCTCATAATGACATAGATGGTAATTTAAATTAAGTCAGGGATTGTTTTAGTTTATATTTTTTAATGGTACATATTGGTAATTTAGATATATATAGATTTAGGGGGATGTTGGTTTAGATTATTTTCATACTTGTAGATTTTAGGGGTTACTTTATGTTATTGCTCATGTTTTTCAGCACTTCAGCAGTACTTTTCGGCGAAGGAACATTGTTTTTCTCTCACAACAAATCAACACCAGCATCAGCCAAATTTTAGCGAAACGAACAGGGCCATTATTGATAATGGCAAACTTTCAAAAACATAATTGATTCGATGGCTACTACCGTCAATATGATTAGAATCCATTGAATCGATGGCTGATGTTTCTATTTTTGGAAGAATTTTTAAGAATTATATTTCTTTTTTCTGTTGCATCTCAAAAAGAGTAAAATACACCGGAGGTCCATTAACTTTCGTTGGGGTGTTATCTATGTCCATTAACTTTGAAACTGTATTTTTTGGTCCATAAACTTTTAAAATGGTTCACTGCAGGTCCATACCTATTTATTTAATCTTAAATCCAACGTACATTTGCAGAAAACCCTCTATCTTTTTTTATCTTCTACGCGCTCCCCCTTAATGCTCAACGGTCAACGCCGCTCAGTCCGGCCGAGCCGTCGGCGACGACCGCGCCTTCGCGCGCGTGTTCTGCTTCGGCGAGCGTCGCGGGTCCTCCCCAGCGACTGCTTGAAATGCCTTGCCGCTGCCGCCCAGGACGTCGCCGACGGATGCCACGGACGCCGATGGGCGGTCTGGCGCGCCGGCTGCTTCCTGTTGTACGCGGACACCAACGCGTCCACGGCCCGCGAGGACGCGTGGCACGGCTGGTTCTACGACGACGACAGCGACGACACGCTGACCGCGGCGCTGGGGACGTGCGTGGCTATCCGGGACTTGGCCAGGCTGAAGAGCGGCTCGTTCTGCCGGTAGCAGTATGACACGCACGGCTCACACTGCGCCCACGTCGTGTCGCTGCCGGTGTCGAACACCAACGTCAGCCACGCGCTCCTCCGGCGTGTCCAGCCCGATGGTCACCAATTAGTTTCCCGTGCCCAGGTCGAGACCGGACGCCACCGCCCGGAAGGTTCGCTGACTTGGCGCCAGACGTCAGCGAACACTGGGTACGGCCGGGCTTAGTTGGGGAAAAAAATTGCATGCGGCCCATCCGCATGCAGCATCGTGCGGACTCCAGACCTATTCCGGCTAAAGATGAGCAACGGGCCAGCACGGCTCGGCACGGCTCGAGCCCGGGCCAAGCACGGCCCGATCGGGCTCGGGCCCTTTTGGCCCGCCGGGCCACCGGGCCGTTCCTGAACAGTCCACCGTGCCTGGTGGACGGCCCAGGCACGGTCCGTGGGCCGAATATCGGGCCGTGCCAGCCCGTTGAGCCCGTGGCCCACTGGTCCATTGGGCCAACCCATAGCTCGTTACACAGTAAACACCATATTTCAAACAGCACAATCACAGGTTCAAACTTCAAACAATCACAGGTTCACATATTCATATTCAACAATCACAGAAACACCAGATGACAAAAGATTTGAGCTGTTTGTGCAATGCCGCCTCATTAAAAAGCTTTCTAGGTAAAACTCACACCTCGTGAGATAAAACCCTAGAAAGGAAAAGAGTACGACCAGCTCAATAAATTAAAATGTTCAAATTGTTCAAAGTTATTACAAACCAGCTAGCTCAAATGTCTTAATTCTCACAACTAAAGTCGCACTCACAGCCTCTCAGACTCTCAGCTCTCAGCAGTCAACCATCACCAGCAGTAGATGATCCACCAGCTCCATCATCAAGGTACTGCTCTTTGAAGTACTCTTCTAGCTCTTTGTCCTCCACAGTGTGCTGTCCACCGGATTCACCTAGCTCCCAGTCTTTGACACAGATTAGCATCTCCACGCTGTCCGCGCCCAATCGCCGTCGCCGCTCCTCAATGATCCTGCCAGTAAGACTAAAGGTAGACTCCGAAGAAGTAGTTGATACAGGAACAGTCATAATATCTTTAGCCAAGGTACAGAGAACTGGATATGTTAGTCTATACTCATGCCACCAATTGAGGATATCAAAGTCATCATCATATGCCACGACACTGTCACTGTCAAGGTAAACAGTGAGCTCAAAGAGACCAGGAGGCACAATAGATCCTGCAGATGCACTTGAAGGACCAGAAGAAACTGATCCTCCAAAAATTTTACCCCATGCCTGTTTTCTCTTACCTGTCAGTCCAGATGGATGGGTGGTTCTAGCTGGCCTAGCAGCACCAAACTTAGATTCATCCTTGTCATAGAGTTTATGCAACTCAGATTTAACCTCAGCAAAGTAATCAATGTAACTCATATTGTTACTTAGAGCAAGCAAGTCAAGCACATTTCCCAGACCTTTCAACTTAGCCCTTGGGTCCAGAATAAATGCAAAAGAGTATAACAGTGGTATATTCTTCCAATACTTAAGAAATTTATTCTTCATTGGCACAACTACAGCAGCAAGAGTATTATCATGTTCAAATTCATGCAGATGGGATGCAATCTCAAGTATGTGATGCAGTACCAAAGGACTAGTGGGGTAATAAACACCAGAAAGTACAACAGTTGAATCATAGAACAACTCAAGGAACTGCAATACCTTGTCAGCAATGTACCAATGTTGTTCATTCAATAGAGGATAGCTAGACTGAGAATTGATGAACACAGAAAACACAGATCTATATGGCATGAGATGTTTTAGCATAAGGTAGGTTGAGTTCCATCTAACATCCATATCCAAAGCAAATTTACGAGGCCTCATACCCTTAGCAATGCAGTAGTTTTTGAATTGTGCAATACGATGATTAGCAGGTCCACTGACCGGACGTCCAACCAATTTGCACCACGTGAAATGCTCGTAAGGTGGTTCAGGAAAAAGAAAAGAAGGTGCTCCATCAGTGGTGTGCCATATATTAAGTGAATGTGAGGAGGATTAGGAAAGAGAAGGTAAGATATGGGTAGAAGTAATAATAAAAAAAGTTTCTTATAGCCAATTAAGAGACCACTGTTGTATAGCTTGGCTCTTAATTACAACTTGGCTAATAGCCAAACACTTGGCTCTACTATTGGGCTTGCTCTAAGAGAGGGTGGGTGTGCATTTGTAAGGTCGAGACAGTATTATTTGGGCATCAGTTATTACGTGTCTCGACTTTGGGAGAAAAAACGGTGGTCTCTACACAATCAAGCTGCTCTGAACCACACATGACCAGCTGGCGTTCACTTTCGTCCAGTCATCAGACAATGGCCGGGGCGGCTGGCGGCTGCTTTGTCCGCAGTCCCGGCTGGCACACGAACTCTCCAGACGCCGGAGATGCTAAACCGGCATGCGATGCGAGGACTCGCAGGCACCAGGCAGCTGCAGGTTAGTACGGAGTAGTAGTTTACAACGCCATCAGCTAGGCAGAGCCCCAGAGCTAGGCGCCCAGCCGCGACGATCGACGACATATTTAGGGTCACGCGCGCACCGCGCGCCATGCCCGAAGAACATCCTTGGGAGATAACGGGCCGCAGTATCTCCCGAGGGTTGGAACAGACATCACTCTAATTCTAGTGCCCACTAGAGGATGCCTCGTGATATAGGATTTTACGCAGAAAGTAACGAGATGTCAGGGATCAGCTATGGCTGGGCCATCGCGTGGGCCTGGGCTTGCTATGGCTAGGCCATTGCATGAGCCCAGTTCAGACCCTGCGGGATGGAAGCCTACAGAGGCAAGAGTCGAACAAATTGGTCTTGTTCGGCTCGCTGAATCTTGGCTGAAATTACCTGAAAAACATTGTTCTGGCTGAGATGTTGTGAGAAAAAAACACTGTTTCGGTTAAAAAAATTAAGCCGAACAAGCCGGATAATAGGTAAGCCAGATATCTGAAACAGAATCCTTCTTGCCCCAAGTTACTGTTCATCTTCCTCCCTAACTCTCTCTTTCTCTCTAATTACCCTGCTTCTCTATTCCTCGCTGATTTCAGACCTCCCTCTCCCTAAGGTCGTGTATCCCTGCTACTTGATTCTGAGTTATCTGTTAGTCAATCCAATCCCGTGTAGTGGATGTCGTTACTTTGGAGCTTAGCGAGACATGACTTGCCTCTTTTACATATGTATATGACAGCTGTACTAGTAGTATATTCTTTCTGGGCGTTGCTTGGCGGCCCCATCTGGGACCCCGCAGCTTGCCTATAAAACGCGCCGTGGATCCCAGTTAGTTTCGTCGCACATCTGAGTGGGATCGAGCAGCTTGCCATATATACTTGAAACGCGCCGTGGATCCCAGTTAGTTTCGTCGCACACCAGTTTAGTTGGAACTTGAGTGAAGATCGAGTCCATAATTGGGCAATATTTGCAAATAAGACGAAATGGTAGATTATATACTTGACCCTAGCTCGTCGTGTGGACGGTGATGGCGGCAATGGCGAAGCCAAAGGCAACCTCCATTGTTCTGGTTATGGTGCTAGTCCTTGCGACGGTGTCCCTGATCGCGGGGACTAATGGATACGCGACTTACTACACTCCAAGCTACTTACGTACGTCGTCCCTCCCAATCAAGCTGCTGCTTCGTTCATCGATCAGTCAGTTAATTAATCTTGTAATAACTAATATAACATACTCATCATCGCTTGCGTGAGTGCGTGCGTGCGTGCAGCTTCGGCTTGCTACGGGTACCAGGACATGGGCACGATGATCGCGGCGGCGAGCGAAGTCTTCTGGAACGGCGGCGCGGCGTGCGGCGACCGCTACGTGGTCAGCTGCACGGGCGCCACCAACGCCGGCGTGCCGCACCCGTGCACCGGCCGCACCGTCACCGTCCAGATCGTGGACCTCTGCACCTCTCCCGCCTGCCAGGGCACCATCGACGTCTCGCAGGAGGCCTTCGCCATCATCGCCAACCCGGACGCCGGCAAGGTCCAGATCGAGTATAGCCGGTACGTACTACGTCGCATTGCTTGCGTCTACCTGAAATAAATAGCGTACAACCTCAGCTCACACGTCACAACTCATCACAGCAGAATTTTTGACATACACATGGCTAATAGTTTGACGACGATTAACTGACATGTATGATGTATGTGATCGTTCATTCACTCGTAGGATCTGAGTTTCGCAAGGCGACGAATCTGAAGCAGGAGTATTATGTCGTCAAAGAGTAAAATCCACTGCGGCCGGCTTCAGAAAATAACAAGAGCTTGAAGCGAATGTGTGTGCTACCCAGCTACTGATCAGTAGTAGCTGCATGTTAAGTTGTACTTGTGTGGGAAAATGAAATAAAAAAAAACAGGGCTCTGCGCCGCGCCTGTTTGGTTTGCGTCTTAATAACGAAGCACATGGAAACCAAGCGAAAAAAAAAAAAATATTATTGCCTGCCACATAAATTGGCTGCCATCGCTTTAGCGTAGGGCCATCAAAATCAAAATTATAACATTTATAAAAGAAGAGTGTAAAAGAATCTCAGTCACTGGTGTGAAACCAAAATTATGCCTAGTGGGTTGGTTTGGACACGCCTGCTGCGGGCGTAATTGGGCTTATTGGTCGAACCGGTAAGCCCAGCAGCTAGACAACCTGCTTATTGTAGTTTCTTTCACTCCACACACAATCACTGTATACGTAGAGTTTATCATAGAGTATCATAGAGAATCAATTCCAGTCAGAAAATCACTTCTCATAAAGAATCGACTTCCACAGAGAATCTAGAGCAGGAGAAACTCTACCAAACTGATCCTGATTGGAATCCCATACACTCATTTTACTTCAACTACCGAAGTACGGGTGTAATGTTGTGGCCCATCCAGCGACCTAGTGACAAATTGACAACAAACATGTTTAGGTATATGCCAACTAGCTCAAAAATATAAAAGCACTCCAACACAACCACTTGAGACTTTGAGTGGAAATGTGTTGGTTTAGACAGAGATCAATAACAAGCTTATTGTGTTGGAGATATTGGCATGATACTGATCACAGAGCACCTTATGTTGTGTTTCAGTGAAGGCCAAATTGAGCAGAGTATATTGGGCCCTGAACTCCTGATTTGGCCTCGTCACTTTGCATAGTTGATTAGGTGACATTAGTGTTTGTCTTTGTAATTCTAAAGAAAGGCCCTGAAACCATTTAATCCCTAAAAAGAAAGGCATGAGCTCATTTTCATAGAAGATAGCACGCTTGAACTCTCTCTGGCACACGTGCACACGAGAGAGAGAGAGAGAGAGAGAGAGAGAGAGAACCTGATTAATTTCATTGTTATTTCCTTGTACAATTGGAAGAGAAATACTCTTGACCTTGGCTGGTGAACGCTGCCAAAATAAACACAATAAATTTTGGTTAATCAAAATGCAACATAATACATTTTTAAGTGACTGTTGTCACACAAGATGTGCATGGTTTGACCTACATAGATATATCATATAAATAAATATCGTAAAGGTAACACTTACATATATTAGAGAAAAACTACATAATGAGCATGTGTCATTCTTGAACTTGTGAGGAGATTCATCAACTTTGAAAGTGGATTTTTGGGTTTATAGACTTTTTATGTTGTATCATTTAGGTCCATACACGCCACATTAGCATGAGAAGTCCACGTGGAGGGGTATATATGGACTTAAGTGATTTGCTTTTAAAGTTGGTGGACCTAACTGAACCCCTTCATAAGTTCATAGACTTCCGGTGCATTTAACTCAAGATTATATACACCTTTTCTTCAAATTTATTACCTTTGTCGTCTTGTTGCCTCTAGGACTTCCAACCACATGCATTGGTCTTGCACATGTCAGATAACATAACAGGACATGCTTAAGAAACACAATAACATGCCTATGACCACGTAACCCATGGCTTTGGTGTTGTCATTTTGTAATCCTGAAAATTAAATAGGGTGGTTTTCACATGCTTGAGCATACTGATCCAAGACTCCTAAACACCCAACAACCTCTCTTTGTGTGCAGTAATAAAGGATCAGATCTCTGTGTTGGTGATGAACTATATGATTTGTGTAGTGCAGTAATGAAGGCTGCATTTGGAAGGGACACGGGCTTCATGTCATAGTGGGTACTCATATGGTGGCATGGTAAGTCACTCATCAATTAACTGATTTGTCCTACAAGGATTGCGAGGACTTGGTGTGAACAAACTCCGCCGATCATGTAGACTTTGAACCTGATGATTCCTCTCTTTGTTTCTTCTTATTACCTTATACATGTTCAAACACAAATTTAACCTACGAAGGAGGAAAAAGGAACAACAAAGGTTGATGCGGTGTTTAGAAAGAAAAAGGAAACAAAGTGGCTAGAATAATTATATTATGTTACTAAAAGAACCAAAAATGAAAGATAAAAGATGCAATGAAGAAGAGAGCATGTATGGTGCAGGAGGCCCGGCCACTCTACACTTTAGGGCTTCTTTGGATGGGAGCTAGCTAATATATTTTATTAACAAGATGATTGGTTAGATCAAGCTGAACTATAAGCGTGACTATAAAACTAGACTATTAGCTAATCCAAACAGTCCCTAGAGCTTTAGCTAGCTAATAAAAGCTTGACATCTAGCATAAATGTGCCAAACCTTGTTTGTAGAACCAATGTTCTAGGGACAGGATGGGGCTAAGTGAGATATCTTCACTTTGATATGGTGTTTGGTTTAGAGATAACTAAGGACGGGACCAGTGGCGGAGGGTGAATCAGAAATGAGGGGGGGGGGCTAAAAGATTTTTACTGTAGCTATTGGCAGTATCTTTCCTTCTGGGATTTGTAAACTTGTGTACGCTTCTTTTCTCAAAAGCAAGGGGGGGACGCCCAGTTTTGCCTCTATGAGCCACCGCCACTGGGTGGGACGATTCTGCTAGGCAACATACTCTCTAGATCCAGGATCTAGTTGACCCTAAGAATTGCAAGGACTCATTCCACTTGGCATGAGCACTAAATTTTGTTGTGGGAGCTATATATACTCCACCTCTGACAGTGGGAGTAAGGTTTTGGCACTTGAGAAAGCTTCCTTGACATTCTATAGCCTTCTTCCATCTCTCACTCACACACATTGCTTAGGATTGCATTTTTTGTGAGATTGAGAGCATTCTAATTTGCGTCAAGAGTTTGATCTTTGTGATACTAGAGAGACTTTAAGGAAGCATCATCAACTTTTTACTTTTAGAGGTTGCCACCTCCAATACAGCTAGTTCGTGGTTTTATTAAATCACTTCAAAGAAGATTTGTGAATGTGCTCCAGAAGTGATTGTGTTATGCTCACCTCACTAGAGTGGTGAAGAACAACTCTAGTAGATCGAGGTGTGGAGTGATTATATGGTTCTAGACAGCTCAAAAATCAAGTGAAGTCTTGAAAAAGAAGCAAAGAACATTAAATCCACAACGAGATTAGAGGGTGACCAGTAAGTCACCGATACCACGGGATAAATTTGGTGTCTCCAATTTGGTTATATCTTGTACTCAATTTACTTTTGTGTAAGTCATTTGAGTAGTTTACCTTCGTAGAATTAAATTATTGCTTGCTATCCTTGGATAAAAACCCTCACATAGCCTAGGTAGAGTAGTATATTAGGGCTTTCTTGTGCTTCGTAGAATTAAATTCACCTACACCTATGACAAAAATCATGGCAACGACCAGCTCCACAGAACAAATGGTCTATGTATGGAAATTAAACGTATTGGTCACTTAGTTTCTCATACCCCTTGTCGAGATCTCCACCTACCCGTTCGCTTCGCTGAAAAAACAAGCCGAAACACTGTTCCGGCTAATTTGTTGTGAGAGAAAAACATTGTTTCGGCTGAAAAAAACAAGTTGAAAAGTACAGATTATAAGACAAGCGAACATGACCAAAATGCACTTCACATTCCCACTGCTATAAAAAAAAAAAATTGTTTCTATTCGTAAGCTTTGCTAACAACTCTGCATTCCTTCAATTTCACCCTAGTCATTTTTTATGATCAGGCCACGAAGATACAGTATGTTGTATCAAACCATGCAACATCAGCTTGATAAAACACCAACAAACCCACCTAAAAAATTGTATTATGCCCACCTCACGGATTTTGAAAGATACATCAAGAACTACCATCCAGCAGCTTTGTAACACCCTAGGTGTTTGGCTTCTACAAAATTGCATTTCAATTCTTAAACATGTGCATCATCTATCTCATCATGCCATTGTCCCTGAAACATGCATATGCAACATTCGCAATTATGTTTGTTTCATACTTGATTTCTTGTGAATGGTAGTAGTGCAACATGTGAATGCAACATGAGTTTCTTATACCTTGAAACATGACAACATGGTAGGAATGTGGCAAGTTAAAATTGCAACAAAAATAATGAAACATGTGAAACATGGAATTGCAACATTAGAGTGAAATTGATTGTTTTGTTGCTTCATCACATGTGATCATTAGAAGTTGGTGTAGCACTTGTGTAAAGTGGTTGATTATGGTCTAATACACCTTAACTACACTTAAGGTAATTGTTGGAACATTGTTCATATGGATCAAAATGACAAAAATGCCCTCAAGTGGAGGTTTGACTTAGAATGACCTATAGAGTGCCACTGTTTGACTGATTCAAAAGACCAACTTAGAGACCTTGCATGGATGTGCACCCTTTACCAAAGTTGTAGCCAATTTATCAAGGAACAAAAATCTCAATATGACCAACTCATGAAAATGGCTAGAACATGTTCAAACAAGACCCACAAGTCATATTTCCATGCTGAATTCACACTTAGAATTTTTCTAAGTCTTTAAGCCGATTTACAGTTTCGAGTATCACTGTTTGGAGGCTTGTATCTCCCTAACCAGGCCGAACCAACTCGAGCTCCTTTTGACAAAGTTGTTGTACTCACTTCGATCTTCAATTTTGTTAACTACACCATGAATCAGATCACCACCGTTTGGGAGTTATGGATCGTCGAATTCACGCTGTCAGTCGTGCCATCGGGCGTCGTTTCAGTCCTTTTTCAGAAAACCGACAGAGCCGCCGTGGCCGACCGGCTCAGGAGCTGAGCACCGCGTGGTGCGCATGCTCTGCCAGTGCCTCCACGTCGCGTGCCCGTGCTCCCAGATGAAAGCCAAGCCAACGCCTCGCTCACTCCCTCTTCCTCTCGCCATTTCCCCCTCTGTCGTTCTCTTCCACGCGAGCGCGGTGACCGGGAACACCGTGATGCCGCCGAGCCAAATCCTCCAACACCGAGCGCCTTGGTCCAATTCCTCTGAACCACAACACCAACGTGAGCTCCTCCACGTCCTTGACCCCACTGTCATTCCATTTTCGCCTCAGGTAGAGCTCACCGTGAGCGCGGCTCCACCGGGTCGCCATGACCGCCGCCGGCCGAGCTCGCACGTGGCCGTGCTGCTCGAGCCCCTTACCGTCCCTTCTCTCCCTTGCGCTAGCTACTGTGTGTGACGCTGAAGCTCGTCGAGTAGACCACTAGGGTTGCGACGCCATCGTCTCGCCGGAGCCGGCCGAGCCGTGGCCGTGCGCCGCCATGGCCGTCACCACCCTCTCTTGCTGCGGTGATAGCCAAAATTGATGGCACCGCTAGATGCGCTTTGATAAGGCGAACACCGTAGTACCGCTGGACTCACCGGAGATGCCACCGGCTACGAGCTACGCCGCCGTCGGTTCTTCCTTCCCCTGCCTGTCTCTCTGTCAGGCGGGACCCACGCGTCAGTCGCTGAGGCTCAGGCGGGAGCCAGCGTGGGCCGCGTCGCGTTTGGGCCGCGCCAGCGCGTGTTTCGTGGGCCGCCGTGTCCTTCGGGCCGACCCAGCAGTAGAGTTAGGGTTTCAAATTCGTTTTTGTTTTATTCTTTTCACAGATTGGTGTATAGATTCAAAAATATGTATCTCCTAGTTGGTAGCTTCAAATGATGTGGTTCCAATTTTGCTGAGTTTATGATAATGTCTAGTTTTTATTAAAAATATAAATTATGCTATGTTCTGTTATGAAAAATGGAGTTGATAATTATCTCTTTTAATCATGAAAGAAATAGGGGTAATTATATCTTTTTCTATGTAGCTCCAAATGGCATGAAATTTTTATGGTGTACTG